CGTGAGCACTAATAAAAATATTTTTAAAAAAAATACTGGGTTTGCTTACTACAACAGATTTAATTTTTTTCATGGCTATTTTTATTTATTTATTTTTTAAAGATTTATTTATTTATTTATACAAGCACTGGGTACAGTCAGAAGCGTGGGAAGGTGAGAGAATTCACCACAGCAGAGCAGGGAACAGAACAGGCAGACTGACGAAATACACTGCTGAGGGGAGCAGCGGGCACGGCAGGAGAAGTCTGTCGCGCCATGTGGGACCCTCCCCGGGTGCCGGGGACCAAACCAGCGCTGCAGAGGCTGCGGGCAGCTTCACAGCACAGCGCTCAACCGCTGCGCCACCAGGGGAGGCCCTTCATAGCTATTTTTAAATTTTAAAAATTCTTCAAATATAAAGGATATAGTATAGAGTAACAGTATTGAAATAGATCATAAAAAGATGTATTTCCAAATGCAGTTTTTAAAGATAGCGGTTTGAGTAGCAACTATGAATTTATTACATTAGCAGATGCAAAAATTTAATGTGAGATAATAGCCAATTATTGTAACACTGGAAGTATTAATATATTGATTGACAGTATTTTTACTTAACCTGCAAAAATGAAATTCTCAAAGAAGACAACTTTTATGGTCAATATATAGAATATTTTAATATACATACAATAGTCTATTAAAACATTTGTAAGTTGAATTTAGAGAAACCAAACAAAGAGTCAAATAAAACCAACTTATGAAATAACTTTTAGAAGCTGATTATAGAACTGAGGAATTCAGAGAGAAGGAGGAAGGGAGCAAGGTGAGGAGAGGGCAAAATTGACTAGGGTGATGGAATGTGGGTGCACCATGGTAATAACACATGAAGGGGGGACCCTTTACTCCCAAAATACAATCATGTAAATCAATATTACCTCAAAATAATAAATAAATAAAGCACATCATTTGTTGTCAAAAGTCATATACCTTGCAACCCATAGTTTTGCATTTTCTGACCAGTTAAATCATAATGTATAAATTAAAAACTGACTTTATAACAAATTCCATCAACTAAAACTTTCTTAAACTATCCCCTTCACTAGGCTAAGGGAATGCACAGAACCACAGCTAAGAAATACAATAAAATGTTTCATTGATTAAAAAAAAAATTAACTAAAATAATTGTCATAACCTTCAAAAATAACCTTCAAAAGTAGAAATGATAGTGATATGCTTAATTAAATTTGAAATACATCAAAATAGGTAGACTGGATTAATGACTGGAAAAGGTATAAATGGATAATGTGATAAAGCAAATATAGTAAAATATAGTCATATCTAGTTAGTAAATACACTTATTTTTACTATCAAAATCTGTCAACATTGCTTTTCATTATTGAGGGAAAAAAAAATGAAAGCATGAAGACTATCCTAATAAAGGAAAATTCTGAAACAAAAAGATGTTAAGTATATTTAGTCATTAGGGAAATACTTCAAAATTCCAAAAGACTACAGTTCCTCAGGAAAGACTAAAATGAGGGCCTCTCTGGTGGCGCAAGGGGTTAAGCACTGCCCTATGAAGAAATCTACAGCCCTTGCAGTACGAGCTCGATCCCCAGCCGGCCAGGGAGCAACCCACATGGCACAGCAGACCTCTCCTAACTCACCTGCTGTTCCCCTCAGCAGTGTATTTCAGTTAGTCTGCCTGTTCTGCTCCCCATTCTGTCTCTGGTGAATCCTCTCACTCCCCGCATCTCTGGCATGTACCCCAACTCTTGTATGCATAAATAAATAAATCTTCAAAAAAAGAAAAAGAAAGAAATACTAAAATGAATTGAACTCAGTAAAAGAAAACTGATGATACTAAGTGTTGGCCAGAATGCTCAGCCAGTGGGAGTCTGAACTGACACATCCAACAGCAGCATCTACTAAAGTCAAGAGTTGTGTGGGCCTCCCCAATGGTGCAGCTGGTTGAGCACAGCACTGTGAAGCTGTTCACAGCCTCTGTAGTGTGGATTAGATTCCCGGCCAGCCAGGGAGATTCCCACATGGCATGGCAGACCTCTCCTGTCTCGCCCACTGCTCCCCTCAGCAGTGCTCTTGGTCTGTCTGTCTGCCTGTTCTGTTCCCTGCTCTGTCTCTGGTGAATCCTCTCACCCTCTGGCACCCCTGGACCATACCCCAGCTCTTGTATAAATAAATAAAATCTTAAAAAAATAAAAAGTTGTGCTTATTTCAGCACCCAACACACTTCCACTTTTAGGTGCCTAAGTATTAAGAGCACTATTATTCATATTAACCAAACTGTAAACTAACCAATTGAATGGGTATGTATACTTCATTGCTGGTTGAGAGCCAATGGTCTAGGGCCATATGTTTGTCAGCTGTATTGAGTTATAACAGAGAAAACTATAAGATTTGTTTTTTTTTTTAGTGAAACTTCTAAATTAAAAGTGTTCATACATTTCATGCAAAAAGGAAGTAGATGCTTTCTAACACAAGTCCAGTATTAGTCAGCCACCAACTGTTGCGGGGGAAGGGTTATCTGAGCAACTTCTCCCCTGGACATCTGAGGGAGAAGAAGCCTGGGACAGTTTCTCTTCCAGTCAGGATTGTGTGCCTTTAATTCAATTCTACACAAATTCAGACAATGCTTTCTTCAAACGCTGCATCAAATTCTCAAGGGAATATGAAAAAGGAATAAAATCTATCATCTCTGCCTCAGAGAAAATGCAGCCAGGTCAAGTGAATAAGAGCAGCGCAAAAGGACTGCCATAATTTGTTGTACAACTTGGGCAAGTTACTTAACCCCTCTGATCCAGTGTCTTTATCTGAATAATGGTGATAATAGGACCTACCTCATAGCGTTGTTATTGGAAATAACAATTGGAGCATAGTAAGTCCCAATGGTTGGAATCATCATCATAATCACCACCCTCATTATGAACATACAACCCATGAGTTTAAAATTTTTCTTTTTTTTTAAAAGATTTATTTATTTTTTTATTTATACAAGCACTGGGTACAGTCAAAAGCACGGGAAGGTGAGAGGATTCACCAGAGCAGAGCGGGGAACAGAACAGGCAGACTGACGAAATACACTGCTGAGGGGAGCAGCAGGTGGCAGGAGAGGTCTGCGTGCCATGTAGGACCCTCCACCGGTGGCAGGGAGCAGCCAGGGATGGAACCAGCACTGCAGCTTCGCAACCCAGCACTCAACCGCTGCGCCAACGGGGAGGCCCTAAAATTTTTAATTTTTTTATAAATTGATTAAAACTGAAGCTACAACAGAAAGTAAAAGTGAAGGGGGAAAAAGACTGTAAAACTGATTTTCCAAGTTTCACTATTCTCGTGTCTTCCTAATAAATCCTAATTATACCTACCTACTCTTCAGAGATTGTACTGTTGATGGTGACTAGGGGTGCGGCGCAAAACATAAAAAACAAAAAACACAAGTACATCTACCCAAATGGAGTCTGGCTGGCCTTTATCTTGTCTGGCAGATGTATAAATTTGTATCTTGGGTATCTTGGGGGAAAGTCTTGAGAAATATTTTTAAAATGAGTAAGAATCTTATTTTTTATGAAATTAATGGATTTTTTATTAACTTCAGTGCTGCTATCTGAAATTAGTTTTTTTCTATGCTTGGGCAAGCCCTGCAGAACCAAGAACTGGACATTTAGTTTGCAATTAAACAGCTATTCCCTCTTGGGACAAACACACACACACACACACACACACACACACACACACACACGGCACTTGAGGCTATCTTTGTTGTCATCCTCTCCCTCTGGCCTGTGTTTAGGAGAAAAAGATATCAACTATTATAAGATAAGGCTCTCCTAATATAGAGCCTTCAAATCATATCTTTTCCAAACAAGGAGCACATTTCTTGTCATTCCTTCATATGCTAGTTTCTACTAGAACAACCAAAGAGCAGCCTCTCCACTGTACTCAACAGGTCTTCCTATCTGGCTGCTGAATGCCTTCAGGACACTTTGTCCAAACCAGGTCAGCTATTTCCTGAATGTTTGACTTTCCCCGTCTCCAGCCTTCAACTCCACAGACAGAGGATCTGACCTAGGCTTAAAAACCTTTTAAGATTATATTTTAAAGTAGGTTCTATATTTCCTGTTGCTCCAGTGTGAGTATCTGGCTAAAACAACATTTTGAGTAAAAAAAAAAAGCCTCACTCTCCCCTTTTCCTTCCCCTATGCTGACAGGGAGCATTCTCTCCCTCATTTGCTTCACTGTGTGGGTTTAAAAGGTAGGACCTTGGGCCTCCCTGGTGGCACAAGGGGATAAGCACTGCACTATGAAGCTATCCGCAGCCTCTGCAGCACGAGTTCGATCCCCGACTGGCCAGGGAGCAACCCACATGGCACAGCAGATCCCTCCTGTCTCTCCTGCTGCTCCCCTCAGCAGTGTACCGGTCAGTCTGGCTGTTCTGTTCCCAGCTCTGCCTCTGGTGAATCCTCTCACCCTGCCACCGCCCCCCACCCCGCATCTCTGGCCCCCGCAACTCCACCCCAGCTCTTGTATGCATAAATAAATAAATCTTTTAAAAAAAATAAAAGGTAGGACCTTGTAGTGATTAAGGAAAAGACTTCAGCAGTCTCCTCCCAGTTGTTTAAACTACAAGAACATGTAAAAGTGGGCCACTAAAAGTAATTCAGCTCTGTTGTCTAAATAGGTATTAACTCTTAGTAGACTAGACATCCATAGAGCCAGTTTGTTAGGAATGTGTATGTTGAAGATTATCCACACGGATCTAAAGTTTTCTACTACTATGGCTTTTGTTTCTCTCTCTCTTTTTTATTTTCCACAGTAGATAGAGGCTAGCCACCATGGGTGGTGGCAGTTGTGGCTATTCTCACTCATATGAAATCCAACACTAGGAAAAGTAAAAGCCAAAATTTCAAAAATAATTGCAGAAGTCAAGTACTCAAAGCTCAGGGACAGTTGAGCCAAGATTTGAAAGTTTCTAATGAAGAAAATGAAAAGTTGCTGCATCCACCTACCCTGCATGCCAACTGGCAGTGGCAGTTCAGTCTCTCCAGATGCCTCTCAAAAAAGAAACTCCACAAATGTAACAAGAGCTGAGATCCTGGGGGAGCCAATTAGATTTAAGCCACTTTCGAAATTCTGTAAAAAAAAAAAAAAAAAGGAATTAGAAAAAACTTGACACTTGAAATGATATTTTATGTGTTCTGCTTAGGATCATGGGATGCTTCTCATAGAGGGCCTAGTTATCACGTATGTAAGATAACCTTGGGTTTTTTTGTTTTTAATTTAAAAGGAAAACATTTTACTGATTGAAGGTAGGAAAATAGAAATTATAGTCTTTACAGTTTTACAATACCAATTTCAACAATCATATTTGATACTCTCTCCACAGAATATATTGCTTTTGGTAGAAATGTAGAGTCTATGACAGGGACAGAGATAAAATTTTCTCATCTATAAGTGAGAAACCAGTTGAAGCTTAGGCCAAAATATATATGTAGGAAGACTTGGAAGTCTAGAAGAGAAATCAGTAGGTAAAAACTTGAAAACATCTAGAGAGAAAACAAGAGGTTAAAAATACAGGTAAATTAAAAGATATTTCATATACATAGAAAAATGTAAACCTTGGGTTTTTAATGTAATAAAATCATTAGCTAGTAAAATCTTGGGTTTTTAATTTAGCAATAAGGAATCATTAGCTAGTAAAACAAACTTAACTCCAGAGGAAGAAAACTGCACATCTAATCTAATAGGTAGCTCATTTCTCATCTTTGGGAATATCAGCCAAAACATGACAAATTAGGCCAAGGTCAATGACAGATAACTGCAGGGAAACTCTCCTCCCAATGGCCGGCTGTGTACTCCTTTGAGGCTCCTGTGATTGCCTAGCAAAGCCAGAATGAGGGAAGATACACAAGAAGAGGAATTTTCCTATCCCTCACTCCCTGATACAAGCACCTCTGTGGCCTTTTGATGAACTGTCAGGAGAGACTCGATTGGAGAAGAGGAGAAGCTCTCAGAACAGACTGCAAGTGTTTTTGCGGAGGCAGAAGCAGCCCTGAGTATTAGCTAGTGGTGAGAACCCCAGGCTCCTGCATCTCCCCAGAGCTCACTACATGAATTCAATGGCTATTTGTGAATCAAGCACAACCTTTCTTAATTAGATGCTAAGTAGATATGTCAATGACAACAGAACCAGGCACAAAGAAAATCTTAAAGACTTAAAAATAACCAACTTCAGCTAAATTTCCAGAATGTCTTTTCTTCCCTTCCAGGATGAGCTAGCCAAAGAGCCATCTCTAAAGATGATTTAGTAAGCCTCCCAGGCCCTCATTAACTCCTCCACCTTCTCTTTAATAGGGCAGCAAAATAACTGGATCCAAGAAGGGGGAAAAAAAAACAAAACAGGTAAAAGGAAAATGCTCTCTTGGAATAACTTTCTGGGCTCCTCACAAGGTCATACTTCCGTTCCATGATGTGGTTGGCTGTTTTGGTTATATCACATCAATCCTTCTCTTCCAGGGGGGATGTTTTTTCCACCGCCTCTGGTGACAAATATGTATTAGGCACCGGCACTGTCAGTAAGGGCACTGAGGGAAGAGAACTCATATTCTGCCTCCACAAAGATCCCACTCTAAGCTAATGGAGATGTGCATGGCTATACAAGAAACAGCTCACCTGTCAAAACCTGATATCTTTGAAGCTCTACCTTAAATGTAATCTATTCCATGAGGTGGTTCCAAAATCCTCACCACAAATAACCTCTCCCTCACTTGAGTTGCTATGTCCGCCTCTATTTTGTATGTTATTTGTTTATGTTATTCTTTCATGGCCCCTTTAGCTCTTTGAATAATAGTATTTTAATGGCTGGAAAGAGCAAAATATGTCAGTAAATGTCAAGTTTTTGACTCTATGGTATAGCAATATCTCAATTAATGAGGAACCAAAGTGGTCAGGAAAGACTTCATCCAGTTACAGTTGAATTGAAATTATTAAGGGAAGGAAGAAATGCATGTAAATTTAAAGAAGAAAAGGAGCAAAAGTCTGGTGTCTCAGGATATCTCCTAACACAGATATTTAATATATTCTGATGACCTTCTAAGTGGCCATGAAGAACAATGAACAGTTCTTTTAAGATGGGTTCATCAATCCCATAATACTCCTACACCACTGATAGTAATACTGGGGGAATATTAATATCTTTGTTTTTGAGACCCTGAGGACCATCCCCTTACAGAAAGCAGATAAGCTTCAGAAACAAATAAATTTCCATGTTTGCATTTACCTCATGGAGTGGTGTGGCATTTTTTGGAGAGAAGGAAGGATTAAGAACTTAATTAAGCCAAAGCTCTGTGACAAATAGCAGCTACAGCCAATCACAGAGTGACAAGCTATGTTTTTTTGTTTGTTTGTTTTAATGAGCTGTTTGGAACAATTACAAAATGAGGGGGAAAATGTAGACACACGCGCATATATATGCGTATGTGTGTGTGTGTGTATAGATCAGCCAAAACGAGATAGATAGATAGATAGATAGATAGATAGATAGACAGCTACTTTTATAGATATATATAGTACTAGCCAAACCAAAGAATTTCATGGTCACAGCTGAATAGTATCAATAGAAATATTTCAGCTTTGCAATGGTTTTCAACAAAACAGTGTTTGGAATGCCTCTTCAGAGCTGATAGTTTTTAGAAATTACTGTTTCTTAAGCATTTACTTTCTTTTTGGCCTCATTGTGTAAATCATGCTGTTCTTTTTCAATTTCCCAGGATCCCCAAGGTCATTCTCTACGGTGTTTGCTTTAAACACCACTCGGTGCCAAAGATTCTGCCTCAGCTTTCAAGTTCACTGGGATGACATTTTCCCACTCTTCATATTTCCTTACATCCGGATCTAGTTGATCTGCATTTTCTGCAGAAAGTTTCACTTGGTAACTGCAATCTGCCTCTTGCATAGTTTCTTTCCATTCCCCTGGGTGGGGCCTGCCAGGAAGACAGAGGAGAGGAGGAGAGTTCTGATGCTAATGAGGTCTCTGTGCTAAAGGTAGGAGCTGAGTCTGGTATTTCTCTGGGGAGCGCAGGTGAGCGCATGGATAAGGGCACAGCTGAGAGTCATTCTGGCACCTTGCTGTTAGCCCAAAGCAGGTATTCCAACATCTGAGCAGTGACCTGTTAATGGCTTACATAATGAAGAAATGAGTCAGTACACCTAGCAATTCAGACCTGACTATGCTGGGCCTTAATTCAAAAGAAAATTCAGGAGAAATATTAAATAGTGACAGATCTTTTTTCTTCTTTAAGATGCTGGTGGTAGAATAAAGGTGAATAAATTATGTATATCTGTATTCTTCTGCTGCTTTCATTGTGGACTTTAGATAACTGAGCTCCATCCTGAGCTCCTAGGATTGCCTCCAGGAGTTCAGGGGAAGGAGAGCACCTTGGCCAGATGAGAGGCAGACCCACTGTTATGAGATAAGCCCTTCTCAGCAATTGAAGAAACTTGCCTCAGCCATTTAGAAGACCCAGGGGGAAAAATCGCCACATGGTCTTAATACTGGGAAATCTAATGTAAGCAAAGTCTTGGCCAATACACACCAACTATGGAGTCAAAAGTCATTTAGAGAATCTGGGATAATCTTTCAGTAGCTCTTCCTACTATCATGGTGGGCAAACGAAAGTGCCTGACATTCTAAACAGAGAAAAAAACAATAGGAGCCACTTAGATTTATGGAGCTAATAACAAAAGATAACCTTAAGGAGCTCTTAGGATGTTCTAGGACTTTATTTGTGTTGTCTTGTTGTAGGATAAGTAAAAAAGGATCAGGCTTTTTTCTGCCCTCCCGCCATTAGGATTAATGATAGATCCCTGCAGTCCTGGATGCATGCCTCGTGGCAGGCACCTGGAATAGGGTGCGAGCATGCATGGTGGGCACAACTGGCTGAGACTGGCTTATAAGGGCAATGTCACGGGGACACCATAAGGAGAAAGAGAAGCAGAAGAGAACGTAACCACCAGAGACTCCCGGAGAGCCCAGAAAGAGTGAAGATTCGCCGGGGACTGGGAGGCCTGCCAACCTCCGGTGCCCTGCACTCCTGCCTGCTGTGAACCTGGTAAAATCCCAATAAAAGCCTGAAAAAGCCACCAAGGGCTCCAGGGCTGCTCTTTACCCACCTGCTTGGATCATAGAGATCCTGCTCTGGCCATTTCTGCCGCTACACTCAGTTAATCCTCCTCACCATCTTTTGAGGTAGATGATAGAAGCAATGTTCTTATTTTCAAGTTGAGGAAACCAAGCTGTAAAGGGCTGGACTGGACACGGTACAGGTTTTCTGATCCAATGCAGACTGGGTAAAGGAGGAGTCAGAGTCCTCAGTGGTTTTTGCAGGTCTTTTATTGGGGTTCACCAGGCATATGGCAGGCAGGGGTGCTGGGGGGCCGGGAGGCTGGCAGCCTCCCAGCCCCCAGCAAATCCTCACTCTATCTGGGCTCTCTGGCGTTCGTTCTGCCGCTTCTCGGCTTCTCTTTCGGCTTCTGCTTCGGCTTCTTTCTCGGCTTCTTGGCTTCTACTGGCGTCCCTGTGACGCCACCCTTAAAAATCACAGTCATAGGCCAGGTGAAATATTTCTACATCTGCCCACACCCTATTCCAGGTGCCCGCCATCAGGCATGCATTCAGGACATGGATCCATCATCTATCCTGATGGCAGGAGAGCAGAAAAGCCTGATTTTTTACCTTACCCTACACAAGCTTTTTGAGTTTATTATGTAAATCACTTACATCTCCTCAGTAAGTAGCAGAGATAGGGTTTGAATGCATACTATCATATGGATCCATACTATCATATACTCTGAGCTACCAATGCAATTTCCTATCAGTATTAGCCTCTTCAAGAACTTTTGGAAGACGAAGGACAGGGGTGACAAAAGAAAAAACAAATTTCTTTCAAAAAAAAAAAAAAGGCTATGAATAAAAAGAAAGAAGTTGGGGAAAACATGAAAACACAGGATTTCTTCAACCACATTGTTCATGTCTTTGTTATCTGGTTAATTAATGAGGCAAAAGAACATTCTAAAGTTGAACCACATGAATGCTTGGCCACAAAGACTAGCCAAACTTTGTTCTTAGCCAAATGTTCCCATGTAACTCAAACCTCCCTCCATGGTATTACTCTTTTTCAAGTGTGATTTGTTGCCATTTGGCTATTTCAAGCGGTCAACACCCAGGAACTGAGTTTTCTACTCTCTCCTCTGGGAGGTTGGGAGGAGTGACATCATGGGAACAACGTCTGTCTTCCCGCCTATGATTCAACTGAATATGTCAAAGAAGTGCTGCTACTGCTAGTCCTGCTGCAGTGCATGAATTACTGTATCTGCCAAGTGGATTCATGTGAAAACAGCAAACACTCTCCATCCCAGGCCCAAAAAAGGGGGGAAAGGCACAATGAGAAACTGTTCAGGCAAAACCGATCCACAAGAGAGGTGACCTTTATTCACTTCCTGCACTCGTCACAAAAATAGTGTATGTACAGCATCTCCATGTATGTCTTGCCTGAAACAAGTAAAGACTGAATGTTTCCTCCTCTGTGCTCCCATACAACTTTGCACAGATTGCTAAATTACAGCACTTTCCACATTTGTCTTGTAATATTTTTTAGGTATCCAGCTTCCTGCTGTTAGGGGGAAAAGGATGTCCCAAAGCAAATTCCATATAGGCTTTGTGGACTCCACCCCCACCCCAGGTCAAAGCCAAAGACACTGGGAACTCCAAATCCCATCACCACCAAAGGGAAGGTGGCTGGGACCTGAGGGTGGGGTTAAGCAGCCAGGTGGATACAAAAGGCAGACACGTGGGCTTTGGGGGCTCTCTCTCTCTCTCTCTCCATTTTTGGGCTCTTGGCCAGCAGCAGCGTCCGGTCAGCTCTGAGAGTGACTTTGGGGTTTCCAGGTCGTCGGATCGGGTAGGACGCATTAAAGACTTTATTTCCCTATTTTCTCCCTGAGTTGTACATTTTCCTTATTTCCTTTTCTCTTGTAAATAAACCTTTTATTAACCCTTTTGCATGTGTCTGTAGTAGAGTATTCATAAGTCCCTTTAAAGCGCGCGGGTGAGGACCCACAGCCAGGAACCCGTTTAATATCGGGGTTGCTCTATAACACTGCTAGTGTATTAGTTCCTTCCCTTCCCCTTAATATTTGTATTCCATGCATCTGGTATCACGCTTAACAAATATTTGTTAAACAAACAAAAGGTAGAGATTAATAATGAATTTATGAGGACTTGCTCAAGGACACTCTCATTAACTAGGACAAAAAGAACTGTTCTGTTTCTTCTATTTTTTAGGACTGATGGTGGCTGGCACTGTCACACTGAGGTCAGGGGGTGTATCATGTCTGTGGTATGATGTGTCAGGGACATTTGGGCACCGAATGAATGAGGCTTCACATGCGGTGATAAGTGTGTGTGTCCTGCTGTTTCCTCAACTCCTGTGTCCTATAGAGTTCAGCTCTCCTTCCTTATACCCACCAAGCTTGCCTATCTCAAACTTGCTACCTTAGTTACTTATTTCTTTAGACTTAGTTAATTTGATTATTCTAAAAAAGGCATTCTTCTTATTCTGAGTTGCTGGAGGAAAGGGAGGACAGAAATGTGACTTGGTGTCACCCCACTGTGCTTCCCACACCTGACAGCCACGTGCCAAATATGATGGATGCTTAGTATTCAGTAAGACTCAACACAGAAATGGCCCCTCCTCCAGCAGAATTTATAGTCAGTGGGAGGCAGAGAGATAAATAATAAGGCAAGTGAAGTGCAGTAACTGTGAGAGGAAACACAGGGTGCTATGAGAGCACACAGGAAGGAGATCAGACCAAACGTGGAAATTCGGAAGAGCCTGCTAGAAAAAGTATCTTTTAAATTTTGACCTAAGGGGGAAGTAAAACTTTCACTGGTAAAAGGGGAGTGGGGAAGAGGAGAAAACCCAGAGACAAAAGAGAACACAAAGTAAGCACAATGTTTATGGATGACTGTCCGTTTTTTGCTTTGTTGTGTTTTGTACTGTTATTATTTTTTTACACTGATGTCTTATTTGGTTCCCCTATATTCCTGCTATACGTGAAACCATCCCGATATTTTTCTTTTTCCTTCTGGCTTATTTCACTGAGCATAACTCCTTCTAGTTCCATCCATGTTGCTGCGAATTATAAATCAGAGACATCCTGCAGGGGAGGAGGGAGAGGGATCAGAGGGAGCAAGAGAAGAGCACAGGGGACTGAGGTGATGGTGCCCAGGTGCACTGGGGAAGGAAACTCTATGGGACTACACCTGAGGGGGTGGGGGGAAGCAAATATTGTTTAAAAATGAACAATCATGTAAAAAAATACATTAAAAAAATGCTTATGAATGGCTAGGGTTTGCGTGAGGAGGCCAGCCTGAGCTTTGGCTATTTTATTCTAAGGGCAATGGGAAGCCACTGAAAGATTTTAACAGGATCAGGTTCAGTGTAATAATAGACCTACAACATAAAATTACTTTGTCATAAGTCCTTGTCATCAGATTACTTTGGCTGCCATATGGAAAATAGATTACAGAATTGTGAGGTTAACACAGATGCCATGGAGGATGACATTTCAGTGGTCCGTGTGAAGCCAGTGATGGGATAGTAGAAATGGATGGGTTCAGGAGAATAGGAAGAAGACAGAATTAACAGACTAGGTAATCAACTAGATCAGAAAGGATAGGTTTAGGTTTTGCCAGTCATATGGTTTCTGTCACAATCATTCAACTCTGCTGTTTCAGTGAGAACACAGACCTGGACAATAATGCAAGGGCCGTGTCTGTATTCCAATAAATATTTATTTACTGAAAACAGGAAAAGAGGCCAAATTTAACTTAGTAATGAAGTCTGCAGACCCCTGCATTCAATAAGAGATGTAAAAGGAAGAGCAGTCAAAAGTGTCTTGAAAGTGTGTGCTTTGGGCCTCTGGTTGGCCAGGACTACTATTTCCAGAGAGAGGGACAACAGAAAAGGAACAGGGCAGAGAAAGGGAGGTAATGGTCGGTATTTAGGTAAGTTGCATCTAAGATACCTGGGAGTTGTTATCCAAGATGCTTCCAATATTCTGTTAGATATGTGGATCTCAGTTGCAGGAAAATTAATTGGTCTACAGGTAAAGACAGACTTGGAAGTTTTCTTAATTAGGGTAGACTAAATCATATTAAAAGACCACCAAAATTCATTGGTTTTAGTACCAAGAATTTGAATTCCTTTATGACATAGGAATGAAAAGAATTCAGATGGGGGTGGAGGACAGTGATTCCCGAGCCTGTCAATAGCAGCATCCATCCCATTCTGCCAAATGGGGGAGAGCTTGTAGGAGGTTTTATGGGCCAGGTCTAAATACAGCCCACATCATGCCCATTCACATCCACCAGGGAGATCTTACTGACACGGCTGCCTAACTGTAAGAAGTGTTGGGGAATGTGTGCAGTTGATTGTTTAGGATAAGAGTAAAGTTGATTTTGCTGGAATCTACACCAAAGTAAAAAATACATGCATAAGCCAAGAAGGCATGAAGATGAATGTAAGTAACTCAGGTAACTGTGAAGATGAGACCAAGTTCAAAGCTCTGAAGAACATTAATGTTAAGAAAGGAATTGAGGAGAGAGAAGATCCAGCAAAGCAGGAGAATAACAAAATGAAAATAAGACTGGGAGATTGTGTAAGGAATTTAATAAACGTATGTAGCAATGAGCACAAATTCAGTCACTGTGTCCATCTCTAACAAGCTGACACTTATTTGGTACCTCTGATATGCAGATGAAAAATGATGTATATTGCATTTAAGAGAAATATGGCAAAACCAACTCCTCAAAAAATTCTTATTTTCATTGCCATTCAGATGAAATGCACTGCTTTAAGGTCATGTATTGCAATATTCATGTTTCCCATTCACTTTGGGGTCCATAAATTAACCTATATAGGTAAAATGTATATTCTGCACCACAAATTCTATGTGATATTCTACACATACGAACATATTAGCATAAATATGAAAATATGCCTGTCTGCGTATACACACACGGCACTCACAGGAGTCATCACCACAATGCATTTCTTCTTCACCGCCATTGTTTGTAATTCTCTATGCTGTCTGTTTTGCTCAAGGTTTCTCCATTTTCCATCCCACCAGTTGGCCAGTCTGTTCTTGGCTCTCAATGAGAAGAAGAAGAAAAATAACATTTTAAGCACTGCTTCATTATTACAAAACCTAACAGAGCTTGCAGCTTAAACAAAAATATTCAGGCCAGAACACTCATGCCCTCTTCCTTGGCAATTCTGAGCCAAGGAAAGCTCAGGCAGGAAAAGCAGAATTTGAGATATGGCAGAGCCTTGTCTATGAATCTACCTTCTTGTTGCTCTTTAGAATCCAACATCACAGGGTAAGGAAGGGTATTCTGAGGATCTGGAATTCTCTTTTTGGCAGAAGTACAGTTAGTGCCTTGCTTATAAATTAGTGGGAAAAAATCTGCCCAGGAGGTACACAGATGTTAAAAAAAAAACAGTAACCTCTCCTACTTGCCCAACATAAATGATTAGTGTAATCAACCAGACCAAGCGACTATTTATAAGCCTGACCTCGAACACCACAGTGTTCGATAAGTATAAATTGAGGCTGGTGGCACTGCTGCCCATATTTTCTAACTTAACGACACACCGTTGGCAGTTCAGTGGCACAAATCATATGCATGTTATTTTTCCTTTATTGCTCTTTATACTGCAACTTAGATCAGGTGTGAATCTAACTATTGGAAATAAACTTCCAATTAGCAAAATTAATTCTTTTGATCTGAGAAAGAACAGTCAGTATATATAAGCAAAGAAAAACTTTGCTGGGAGCATTTCTCCCTCCACTTCTGTGATAAGATTTTCTGTCAGCTGCAACAAGTCTTTCTTATTGCTACTTTTATAGGGCCCTCATTATTCAAAGTCTGCTGCCTTCAAATATCATCTGTAAAGCACATCTAGAAATTTAGCAGCTGATGGAGATAGTTTATGAAAGGAAGATACTGTAACTTGTTTCCTCTGGCTAGATTAAATATGTAGTTTGTTGTTGTTGTTGTTGTTGTTTTTAAGATTTCATGTATTTATTTATACAAGAACCGGGGTACAGGCCAGATGCGCGGGAGGGTGAGAGGATTCACCAGAGACAGAGCAGGGAACAGAACAGGCAGACTGACTGAAATACACTGCTGAGGGGAGCAGCAGCTGAGGCAGGAGAGGTCTGCGCGCCATGTGGTAACCTTGCCCGCCAGCCGGGGTGCAACCGGCGCTGCAGAGGCTAAGGACAGCTTCACAGCGCAGCGCTCAACCATTTGCACACCAGGGAGGCCCTAAATATTTAGTTAAAAAATTCTATATTCTTTCAGCCAGTCCAAGGGAGAATGTGAGAGATGGGCAGGAGTTCATCAATATGATGTGCCTGTAGCCTGTGAAAAGTCACAGGTACTTGTGCAAAAAGAATATGTGAATGTGAAATTCACAATGTGAACACTACATCCATTGTCTTCAAATGGTAACTGGGCAGGAAGCCTAGTTTGATCAGACCCTTCTCTTTGTCATTTTCCTAAAGTTGCCAAGTTAACTGTCACATCCCACTCATCACAAGACAGTCTCATCTCCTCCATGTCTAGAAAATTGGGAGCATTTTTTTACTAATGCTAGGGCAATGGAAACCACCCTTCAATCTTCCATCTGTGTTTCCTTCATTTTCCATGAGTAATCACCAAAACAGGCCTCTCATCTGCCTCTGTCCCCTTCTCTACCCCCAGGTTAGTTCAGGTTCCTTTGAACTTTTATTTTGACTAGTACAGAACCCTCTAGACATCTCCTTAGCTAGAATGGATGCTACACATTAAAAGAAAAAAAAAATCTAAAACTTACAAATCAGACGGTATCAGGGCTCTGCTTTAAAAACTAACAATATACACCATCTGAAAATAAATCTAAAGTTCTTACATGGCAGAAAGGATCCCAAACATTAGGCACTTCTCACATCATTTCTCATAACATCTGCCCCTTATTTCATAGCACACACTTTCTCTCTCTCTCTCCTTTCTCTCTCTCTCTCTCTCTCTCTCACACACACACACACACACACACACACACACACACACACACACACTCCCTCTCATATATCCTTCCAGCTCTCACTCTGAGACAGGTTCACAATCAATTCTCTGCCCAAACTGTACTTCCTCTTCACCCTGTTCCCACCCTCACTTAGCTCACTCCTAGTACATATTAACAGTTTATTCAGGGGTCACCTTCTAGAAGTCTTTGAACTATTGTAGTTTCCAATGCTTTCGAAATAAATACTCCCTACATAATTCTGTGAATATATGATAATATATTTTTGTATCTCTGGGTTAGCAACACTGTACTAGATTGAGAGAACAGAAAAGAGGAAATAGAACTAGATTGTAAGACCCTTGGGAACTTTATGATGCAAGTAAAAACACAATGAATTCTGAAATAAGGGTGGAGTAACAAGTAAAACTTGCAAAAAAAATAATTTTGAATACTTAGCAAGTTTCTTCCTCCCAAACAAATTCCAAATAGATTACATATTTAAAAGCAAATATCTTTCCCCCCAATTAATTACAGATACATTAAATATTTTTAATTACACAATTAGAAGAAAAGTTATGGGGCAAGTTTTATAATCCAAGGGGAAGAAAGTTTACCTAAGCATGATTCTAAAAGTCAGAAACTGTGAAGATTGATACATTTAACTAAAAAAAAAAAAAAGGAGTAGCTTTTTATTTGGGTAAAAATAAATCCCAATGAAAAGAACAATCCACAAATTGAGGGAAAAAATGAGCATTTGGCATATTGCCTGGCACTTAATTTATTTTGAATAAATTCATTTATACGGCAGAGGGCTAATCTAATATATAAGGAACTCTTGGGAGTCAATACTTTTGCTTTTAGGAAAAGCAAAAAAAAAAAAAATGACTAGAGTAGGTACACAAATTACCACTAAATTTATATAGTTTTCACACCCCCAAGTCAAAGAAATTCTTTTTTAAAATGACATTTTACATACTAAAATGACAAAGATTAGAAAAATAACCTGAGTTATTGAAGGGATGGGAAACAAGCAAAGTTAAATATTGCTAAGAGAGTTGTGGAAAGCAGTTTAACAGTGAGTGTTAAAAATTCTGACCCAGAATTTTCACCAGAACTTATCTGAGAGAATAGCCTAAATGTCCAACATTAGGGAGCTGCTCACTAAATTACAGTGCTCTTTATATTGAAATTTCATATAACCATCAAAATCAAAGATATATGCATATTTATTTACAAATAAAGCAATGCATATGTTGCAAAATGTCTTAAAATGGGGTTAAAAACAATGTGTAACATACCCCATTTGGATTTTGTTTAATATGCACAGGGAAAAAAACACATGGAAGGGTAGTTTCCAAAATGTAAATAAGCATTATCTCTGAAAAAAATGGAAATATGATTTCCTTCTTCATACCTTCTTTCTTTTTTTCTTTCTTTTTTTTTTTTTTTTGGTATTATATGAGTTCTTTGTCAAGAGCACAAATACTTTTAAAATTAAAAAATAGGGGGCTCCATGGTGCCACAAGGGGTTAAGATGCAGCACTATGAAGCTATCTGCAGCCACTGCAACAAGAGTTTGATGCCCAGCCAGGGAGGTGACCCACATGGCACAGCAGACCTCTCCTGTCTTGCCTGCTGCTCCCCTCAGCAGTGTATTTCAGTCAATCTGCCTGTTCTATTCCCCACTCTGTCTCTGTGAATCCTCTCACCCCCCACACCTCTGGCCTGTACCCCAGTCCTTGTATGCATAAATAAATCTTTAAAAAAAATAATTACCAACAATGTATTTCTACTGCTTAAAAACAAATGGACAAAATGGAAACAGTTGACAGATACAGTGTCCAGACTGCAAGAGCCTCACATGTCTAAAGAGAGCGGCCATTTTAAGTGAATTATACCAATCACAAACAAGGCACACTCAGTGTTTATCCTCTAGAGGTTGGCCAAGCCCAATCAAATAAACATCACAGGATCACTTAACTACTGCCTGAACAATAACTATAAATTTACTTTTCTGAATCTTGCCTAAACACAAGTCAGTGGCTATTCTGATTCCAGTGAGCATAAAAGCAAGGATGAACTGTTCATCTTTATACTAGATGAGGTAGAGCTAATTTCTTCCCTCCCTCTCTCTGACAGTTTGCCTATTTTTAGTTAAGGAAAAAAAAAAGTTGGAAGACCTTTCAGCTATAAGGATAAATCCATGAATAGGTTGCCAGGACATATTGCAAGTCTGTACATATGTTCCCTCCATTTTTTTAAGTCTATGATTAGCTAATAGTTCTCACAAAAACAGATGGATATCAGAATATTGTTAAAAAAATGCAACAAACAAAATGTCAACTAAGCTCTAAATTCTGCAGATTTTATAACCCAGTTATCCATGTAAGGCCATCATTTTCAAACAGGACTTTCAAGCATGGGGCTGAAGGAGAAGTTAGGACTTAGTGACTGGTCCTTCTGAAAACAGAAGAAGCAAAAGTTATTTATAGTGACCTTTGCATGTTTACCTTAGAGATGTCTAATCAGATGTAAATTGTCACCCCATGGATATGCATAATCAACTTTATTCCCTTTGCTAATTGAGAAAAAGAGCTGTTAATGTCAAGAAACATTTGAAAAATGTACCAGCATGCTCAATAGAGCAAGTTCTTTATAAAAGTCAGACTTTCCATATGGCAAAATTGTGGAAATTGGGCTTAGGGAAAAAAAACTAAGAAAGACTAATTTGTTATTGAGCTAGTCTGAGCTGGAACAGAATCAGTCTTAACAACCCCAAATTTGAGATATTTTTTCCACATCTTATATTCAAAAATAACTCTTTCAGCTTTAATGAAAAATCATTCCATCACCTTAACTCCAAAGTTCCTGTCCCGCTGAGTTTTATGCTTTCCAAGCAGCTGTGACTCTGGCTTCGTGGTCTCTTTGCCAGGACGCTCAGTTACCCACTGAATGTGGTTCACACAAGCCAGTTCTTCAATTCCTTTAGCTCTCCTTGGGTTTTCTTTTTAAGTGTCTTTTAAAACTGATCACCATAAGGCAAGTAAGACTTACTTCAATTGTGTGAAAAGGGGACAAGAG